GGAAGAAAGAGAGAGAGAAGGATGAGAGTTGGATAAAACCCAGAAGGAAGGGCACCAGAGGACACATAACCCCATTCATGTCCCTGATCGGTGGCAGTCTCTGCCATCACCTACACCCAACTTCATATCCATCTCTTGTAGCATCACCCTCCCACCTTCAACCCAACTCTCCCATCACAAACCCCAGATTTTGAACCTAATAGGGAGCATGTTTGCCCCATAGCGAATCTCATACTATGATCAAATATGTTGGAGAGAGAGAAAAAAAAAACAACACATTTTTCTGAAGGTGTTTTTTAAAGCCATTAGAAGGGCACGCATGTTTAGAGGTGACAAACTCACCTGTGGCCTCCCAGGGTCCACAGCAAGGGAGACACACACAGGCCAGTCTCAGAGACGAAAGGCTGCATCCCACCGCCACTGGCTGCAGCAGCTGCCACCTGCCTCTGAGTCCGTTTTAAAGAGCTAGGAGTACTTAGAGCGGTGGGAGGGGGAGGGAAGGAGAAAGCTAACTAATAGCTTGCAAGTATGTCTTCTTAAAATCGTGTTAACCAAATGAGCTGCCTTCCCTTGATCCCTCCCACTCCTGCCTGAATGTGCACTAATTGAAAATTAAGTTTTCCATTTTTCTAATTCCGTCTCATTCAAGAGCAGTTAGAGCTGCAGTGTTTTTGCTGAATTCCCAACGTATTTTTTCACGAGCTCCCTCAGAAAGCAGACAAAAGAGCTTTGTCAACAAGTTACTCACAGCAGCGGGAGGGCGGGAAGTTTTGTGTCAAAGGGGAGTCATCTTGGAAGCCAAGAAAAGTGAGACCAGGACCAGGTTTAGGATTCTGCCCATCTTTATTGCAAATGGAAGACATTTCCATGTTCCTTTTCCCACCCATTCCTGCCCCCGCTAAACCATCCTTGCAACCTGGCAAAGGGATCCTCTCACTCCTCACTGTCCTGCCCCCAGGGTGTTGGGAAAGCCTCCCCAATAAAACCATAAGCTTCCTGTGGGCAGGTTCTTGGCCCCCAAGGCTAATTGACCTTGAAATCTACTTAAAAGGAGAGCAAAATGTCACCATAAACAGTGACAAACAGGTTTATTGGGGGCCCTCTACTAAAAACTGAAAAGAAAACTTATAGAAATTGATTTATTTGGGCTTATATTTAACCAAATTTAGGTCATTATTACTCCAGAGCAAAAAATAAATCATGTATTGATTCCTTGAGCATCGTTTCCACACAATTATGTGATTGCACAATGGGGCATTCTTGGTTTCATATTTAACTTTCACAGCAGGAGAAAATAAGAGAGTCATTTCTGAAAAATAGGTAGTCTTCCTCTCTGTTCCCGAAGGACTCAAGATCTTAAGTGTCTTATATTCTAATCCTTCACCTCCTAAGGGTACTCTGCAATCCTGTCTTGCCAAACAGCATGTATGCAATTCAGACAGCCTTCTAACATCAATTCCATTGACTTCATGAAATCCTACACCCTTTGCAGAATCTCTAGGTTTACTTTGCAACCGACTTACATTGAATTCACATTGAATTTTTCAGATGTTTACCCTTCGTAAATCATCAAGAGCCTGACACACACCCACCAAGACACTGGGTAATACAAGGGGGTGGAGGAGAGACTAGGGCTGACCAGGGGAGGCTGCCTGATTGGGAACTGCTGTGAGTGATGAGTTCATTAGTGGATGTTTTCACTTGCAAAGCCTTTCCCTATGCAATTTCATAGAACCCCATGTGATTTGTTAAGTAATTCAGATATCTGCCAAAGGTTGCTACCAAATAGTAATTTAGAGTAATCTAATCCTAATGAATGATTGGGCTATGAGGAAGGAGAAATAAAGAGGCATTATTTAGGAGCTCAATTAATAAGGTCTTTCCAAGGCATCATTATAAATAAACTATGAGGAATGACACAGCCATTACGCCCTCTCAATGTCTATGAAAAGCAAGATTCTCATATGCCTTGACTAGAATGTAGGCCTGAAAATGCACATTTTATGATTTATTGGAACATGGGTGACATAAATGGAATGCTAGAGAAACCAAAATCTTGTGGACAGAAGGAAGTGTGTGGATAATATGTGTGAATTTGTCTAGGGCTTGAGGAATGGGGTAGGGGTAGGGATGGTAGGGCAGAAGCTCAACAAAGCATCAGATGCCAGGTAGAAATAAAAGGATTTGAGGAGACTTTAAGCCCAGGCTTGAGAAAAAAAGTAAAGGAAATATTCGAGGAGTTATCAACTCCCTTTGCTGGAAAGGGCCTAGAACACCTGCTATTAAAAGTACTATTCACAGGGAGAAAATCCGTGGCTCGTGGTTTGATTGCTTTAGAGAATGTAGCTTCAATAAGGAACTTGAGAGTTACACTTGGCTCCCTACCAGACGACTGTGGTTCAAAGTCTGACTCAACTGTTGCATGACCACATGTGACCTAATTTCTCTGACCTGCTGCACCTTGTTAATACAATGAGGATGTCACTCTCCATTTCAAAGAGTTTTGGAGGCTTAGAACTAACATCCATCTTATCGTAGGTACTATATACTATCTGTCCGCCACACATTATTCACTAAGTGAATTTTATGATGACGATAGTATGAATGGAGCTACGGTGTACCCAGCTGACCTGAAGACAGACAGGTGGAACTGTGCTTAGCTAAGCCAACAACAGTTTCAAATCACCATTTCTGTTGCAGAACAGAGCAAGCACTGGGAAATGGGATGCCAAAATGAAGCAAGGAAGAGCCCTTAGCAGTCCAGCGTTGAGGTACACTGAAGAGAAATGCCCCAGGTCTGCTCACACTCTCAGAGGTGACTAGTAGCAATGAAGGAGCAGCTTCCCCAAAGGGGTGGCCTGGACAGTCTCAGCCCAGAGACGACTCGATGTGTTTGAGGTAGCTTTGCCATTCTTGGCATGAGAAGATGAGTAGCAGGAAAAATAAAACACAATTGCTGTATCAAGTCATGGGGAAAGGCAGGAAAATTGGTAGGTTAATTCCTGATTTCCCTAAAAATGATGATAACATCAGTCTCATGCTTTCATCCTTGACACTCATCTTGAACGGGGTTCTCTGAATCCTGAGGCCAGGATTCCGAGGCACATACATAACTTACTGAGGTATTGCTCTCAGGAGGGACTATAAGGGAGTTGAGGCAATAGGGAAGAACTGAGCAAGGATGTGGTCTCAGGTAAGTCCAGCCTTGGTCAGCCAACCAGTTCAGGTTGTCAACCTCCCAGGCACCTTCAATAAAGTGGCTCCGGTCAGCCAAGGACAATTATACATAGAAAGTCACTGATGTGAGCTGTTAGCCATGGCTCAGAAGGGGTGCACCAGCTGGTAAAGGGATCTCAGAGGGGCACCAGCTATTTCTACTACAACATTGTTCTGGATAGGTGCTTTAGGCGTATTAAGTCATGACAACCCTATGAGGTTCTCCTAATTGTCCAAGGAGAAAAGTGAAAGTCAGAGAGGCTAAGCAATTTTCTCTGAGTCACCCAGTGTATGTGGCAGAGTCAGGACTTGAACCGTGGCATTCTAATTCTGGAACCCACACACCTGGCCTTGTTTCTACCTTATGAGACGCTGTTGTTCATTGAATTGTTATCTGCCCCCCTCTCCCCCCACTCCTCCCACAAATAAAGATGTTGAAGTCCTAATTCCCAGTACCACAGAATGTGACCTTATTCAGCTATAGGGTTATTACAGACGTAATTATATTGTTGGGGGTCATACTGGAGTAGCGTGGACCCTTAATCCAAAATGAGAGAAGAAGGCCATGTACAAACGGGCAGAGCTTCGAATTGTGCAGCTACAAATCAAGGAACGCAAAGGATGACTAGCAAGCCATCAGCAGCTTGGAAGAAACAGGAAGAATTCTATCCTAAACATCTCAGAGAGAGCTTGGTCCTGCAGGTGCCTGGATTTCACACAGAACTGGTCAGTTGCTATTGTGTTAAATCAGTGTTTCCCAAAGTGTAGTACGCGTACCTCCAGGGGTACGGGAAGCGTTTGGTGGGGGTACACATTGCACCGGAGTTTGGTGGGGATATGCACTGCACTATGCTTAGCTGTACCTAATTCTACGTTCTCATGAATACAAGGGATACTCAGCATTATGAAAATTATAGAGGGGGTACACATATGTCAAAAGTTTGGGAAACACTGTTAAACCATTCAGCTTGTGGGACTTTGCTACGGCTGTCCTAAGAAACTGAAACAGGTACTAAGAAAAGGTACCAAACATTAGGGAAGAATGCCCTGGTATAATTATTCATTTTAAGCTCAAAATAATGATTTACTCCAAAGTAGGTTATAGTCATAGCTAAGTGTTTCAAAATGACATATATACCCAGAATTTATACAGCCCTTGGAGGGAGCTAAATCTCCCGTGTGTAAGCTCTCAGGCTTGAAGTCATACTGTCTTGAGTTATAATCCTAGATCAATCATTTATTTAGCAGCTGCATGGCCTTCAGCAAGTGTATTGACCTTTCTATGCTGTAGTTTTCTCATTTGTGAAATGGTGACAATAATAGCAGCCTCCCCTTAGAATTATAAGGATTATCTGAAATAATATATTTCGTGTTTAACATAACGGCCTGGTACATGGCATGCGTTGCATGTTAGCTATTATTCGTATTACTAACACTAATTTGAAATCCAATCATGATGGACGCAGAAGACCTGAGCTCATGTCTCTCTTCTGCTGGCTCCTCCCGCACCTCTGAGCCTCCTTAGCTCAGCTATAGATGAGATTGAGCCAAAGTATTGTTGAGAAGGGACAGCAACCCATGACCTTCGGGAATAATAACAATGCAAAGATGACACAGGATGGCACTGCTCGCTTATCCTTCATTCCCCCGCTGAATTCAAGAGAGCCAGCTATCCTTGGGCTTGCCGGAGGAATCCTTTCCATCTGAGATCCCGTAGGCCAGAACTTCTCCAACCTGAATGAATATAGGAGTCATCTGGGTTGCTTGTGACTTATATAAAGCAGATTCTGGGCAGCGACCCTCAACCGCCATGGTTGGGGCTGGCATTGCAGCACCGCGTGGTGGATAGCTGCCGTGTCGTTGCCGGAGGCCTGGCAAGTCTATGGTGAGGACCACCGCCTGGCCACCTTCCGGCACTGGCCCTTCCAGGAGGGCTGCGCCTGCACCCCCGAGCGGATGGCTGCGGCCGGCTTCATCCACTGCCCCACGGAGAACGAGCCCAACCTGATTGAGTGCTTCTTCTGCTTCAAGGAGCTGGAAGGCTGGGAGCCAGAGGACGACCCCGCAGAGGAACATCGAAAGCATTCGCCTGGGTGTGCCTTCCTGTGTCTCAGGAAGCGGGTGGAAGAGCTGTCCTTCGGGGAGTTTTTGGAGTTGGACAAAGAAAGAACTAAGAACAGAATCATGAAGGAAGTGCACCGATGGCGAGAAGGACTGGAGGAAGTTGCAAAGAAGGTCCGCAGTGCCATTGAGCGGCAGCTGGCGGACCCTGAGTGACGGAGTGACGGCTCCTGCAGGCTCCCTGGTCCCAGCACGGGGGCGTCATTGCTAAGGCTGGATCCCCAGTGTTCCCGGCTGCTCGCTGGGGCCAGAAAGCGACTCTGCAAAGGACATTTTGAATTTGAAATAAGAAAACATAAACTCAGTTTGCTCTCTCTAAAAAGTGGTGCCAGGGCTACTTCTGTCTTTGCACCTGGTGTTGCTGGTCCTTTTTCCTTGCCAACTTCCACCCAGCTGAGGTTTTGGCTGGAATAAGTACTGGAGCTACCTCCTGGGCAGGCTGTGTGCCGAGACCGACCCGGGTACACTGGGTAGCTGCTCCTCTCGGGGCATAAAACCACCCCTTGGGCCTGATTCCCGCCTTTGCCCACGCTATCTTACTCTGGCTTCTGAGCCCTCTACCTCCCTCAATCTCATTCATACATGTGTTGCCTCCCTTCTTTCCCACTGAGTTTTTTTTTGTTTGTTTGTTTGTTTGTTGTTGTTTTGAGACATCTCACATGGATTGGTTGTCTCCTGCACAAGCCCAACCAGGGCTCAGCCTGGCGGGGAAGAGCCTGCAACTGAGGTATGTGACCTCGACTGGGCTGGAATCTGGGACCCTTTGGTCCGCAGGCGGGCGCTTTATCTACTGAGCAGGTGGGAGCAGGTGGGAGTTTGTGCTTTACTGAGTATAGGAGCCACCTGGGTTGCTTGTTAAACTGCAGTCTTTGGGCAGCGGCCACCAATCACCGGGTTTGAATCGCAGCACGGCTCAGGGGTGTCAGTGGGAGGGATGCGGGGGCGAAGGGGGGGGGGGGGTGAGAGGTTGGATACATGGGCAGAGACCTCTTCCACAGCGTAGCGTCTGGGCTTCCTGCTGACAGCTGTTACAGATAAATACGTAAACTAATTAATAATTAAGCAGATTCTGATTCCGTGTCTGATTCCACAGCCTACCTTGCCAAGAAGCTCCCAGGTGTGATCCAAAATTCACTTACACATTTCCATGCTTTGCAAAATATCATGAGATTTAACCGTGAGATAGGACTCAACTCCTAACCATTGAGATTGGGTCCCCTCAAGAATATATAAAATATATCATTATATATATCCATATGTGTGTGTGTGTGTGTGTGTGTGTGTGTGTGTGTGTAGTCTTATATGTGTCCTTGTTCTGGGAACAAAATAGATCTTTTCCTACAAACATAAAGTCTGTATCTGTGCTTGCTGTGTTGGGGAGAAACGCCCATTAAAAGGACTCCAGAGAAGTCCTCTGGGTGGCGATGAATGCCTACTTGTGCCCTGAGGGGTGCTTAATGCCTCCCAAAGGAGACTCCTCAGTCTGGATTGTTTCAACCACTCCCAAAGGCCTCCTCCCACAGCAGGCTGAACAGTGAACGCTGGATTTTATTTTATTTCTTCAATGGAAACTTGTCTCCATCTGTTGGATAAAAAAAGAAAAAGTACAGTAAAACATGGGGGTGGGCAAAAGTAAGCTTACAGTTGTGAGTACATGAAACATAAGTTTCTTCTTGTCTTATTGTTTATTGTTTTCTATCGGAACCTTCTTGTCCCACCTTCTATTTCATTGATTCCAGCTCTTAAATCTGAGAAGGGCCACAAAGGGGGGTGAGGAGGTGAGGGTTGATTCTGGAACTGTAAAATACTATGGAGACTGCAGTTTTAACCCTCTGGTCTCCCAGTCCGGCCCTGTAACATAAACCATCTAGACCAGAAGGGGAAAGAGGCATTAAGCAAATCCACAAAGAAATGCATTAAGTAATTGCTTCTTTCAGCATCTCCAGAAAGGGAGGCATCCATTTTAAAGGGCCTGTTGAACCTGAGAAAGAATTTAACTGCTGAGGTGGACTCTTCATGATCAGCCAAAGGCCTAAATCCTATATAATAAAAGCCTAATATGCTAAGTGTCTGGTCAGCCGATTGGCCGTTCAACCAATCAAAGTGTAATATGTTAATGATATGCTAAGGCCACTCAACTGCTCACTATGACATGACCACCAGGAGAACATACAGTCAACCAGTCACTATAATGTGCACTGACCACCAATAGACACTCCCAACTGGTAGGTTAAGTTGCTATTGGGGTCTGGCTGATCAGGACTGAGCAGGCAGACTGGACATACCCTGGAGCCCTCCTGCAGTCTCTCCCCACCTGGTCAACCTCCTGTGTCTCTCCCAGGCCCCAATCATGCACTGGTGGGATCCCTTGGCCTGGCCTGTGCCCTCTATCAGTCCAAGACCCCTCATGGGATGTCAGAGAGCCAGTTTCGGCCCAATTCCCACAGGCCAGGCTGAGGGACCCCACTGGTGCGCAAATTCATGCACCAGGCCTCTAGTTTTACAAATAATGAGACTCTAGAGGTCACCTGATGATCTCACGTACACCAGGAATAATCTCTATCAGCTTCCACACTAGGCCCTGCCTGGACTCTGGTCTCACAGCAACACTGTGATAAAGTGCAAAACATGATGATATATATATATATATATATATATATATATATATATATATATATATATCTTGTGGAAGAATTTCCTCGTTGAGTTAACACATACATCACTTTTTTTGTTTGTTTTTATCTTTGTTGTTGTTGTTGTTGTTGTTGAGAACATTACGAGTTTTAAAATGAAGAAAACTTGCCCTAGCCAGTTTGGCTCAGTGGATAGAGCGGCAGCCTGTGGACTGAAGGGTCCTGGGTTCAGTTCTGGTCAAGGGCACGTACCTAGGTGCAGGCTCCTCTCCAGTACAGGCCCTGGTCAGGGCCCGTGCAGAGGCAACCAATCAATGTGTTTCTCTCACATCAATATTTCTCTGTGTCATTCCCTCTCTCTTCCACTCTATCTAAAAATCAATGGAAAAAATATCTTTGGGTGAGTATTAAAAAATAATAATAATAATAATAAATAAAATGAAGGAAACTTGACAAACTATCACATAGTAAGTACCCAATTGTCATCACAACATAATTGGGGAGTCAAAGAATGTAAAGTCAAAGTTCTAAATCAGACAGACCACCTGCTTTAAATCCTGGCTTGGCTCATCCTGAACTAGCTTTGTTGCTTGGTACATTACCCTCATTCATAAGCTAAGAATAGCAATACCTACCTTAAAGGGTTGTGGTAAGGATTAAATGAGTTAGTTTATGTAAAGATAATTTATGTAAGCTATGCTACAGTTATTAGCACAAGAACTTACTAGGCACTAGAAACTTCTCAATAACGTTTAGCTATTAATATTTTAATACATGATAGAGGGAAATGGAGGGTGAGCGCCATCTACTGGCCCCAACTGCAAGCCAAGTGCAGCAAATACAGTCGAAACACCAGACTTCATTTGAAACTTAATATCCCCAAAGTCAAAGCTTCTAGCCTCACCCCACCCACTTCCTCATAGTCTGGCCAACTTCTAAAAGCTGATATAGCAGGTGGGGGGGGGGGGGAGGTTGAGGGGGGGAAGAGCAAATCAGAGATGTAATTTTCTAAAGCTTTCTGAGCCAGCCCTGGTGAGACACTCAAAGCCCATAAACTGGGGCTTTCTGGAAAGTCTTAAAAGCCCTTGAAGCGCCAGGGATGAAGTTACTAACAGAGTTTAGGGAAGCTGAGCTGCATCTTAGCTGCCTTCCCATCCCCCTCCCTCGTTGGAGAATCCCCCCCCCACACACACACACACACTACATCGTGGTCTTACCCCTGTTTCCTAATGTACCACTACCTCACTTAAGCAAAGCAGCATGGTGCTTAGGCAAGAGCATCCCACGGACCTGAGTTAAGCCCCAACTCTGACCCGACTAGCTCTGAACTTTGGGAAAGTCATTTCATCTCACTAAACCTCAAGTTACCCCATCTATAAAATAGAGTGGTACTGCCCAATGGGAGGTGCTCCTCTCTGTTGTGAAACGGAGCTGGGCTGATGTCCTGAGCGCCAACTTGGCTTCTCTGAACTGCCCATTTCTCTTTCACCAGAGGCAACAAGTGATTCCAACCTTGATGAGTTGTTAGGAACTAATTGTATGGACTAAAGTTTGTAGACCACTGGACTTAACGGACGATACAGAAAATAACATGGCTCTTTTCGTTAGTCATCCTGCAGGTTTGCTGCGAAGGTTGAAATAAAAGGACCTCCATGGAAGTTCACAACACAATATCTGGTCCAGAGTAGAAGCTGGATGTTGTGGATGCTGTGGGACACTACCCAGATCCCCCCAAAACCTTCACTGGTGATAGCTGAGAGCACACAGTGGAGTATCTCCTCTGGTCTTATCTAAAGACAGCAGCCTTGCCTAAGGTCAGGTGCCTTATCGGGGTTGGCCCACACCCAATGACTGTCAATTTGTGGATCTAAAGCACATGTGTCAAACACAAGGCCCGCGGGCCAAATCCATCCCACCAGGCCTTGCAATGTGGCCCGCACCGCGCTGTCATCACTGCACTCCGCTGCGTTTCCATCACAATGACAGTTTATGACTGTTCAGTAAACCATTCAGCCCGGGATTTAGGCTGGATTTTAGATTTTGGCCCCTTCTCTGATTGAGTTCGACACCCCTAATCTAAAGGCTCAACCTGATGCCTCCTTTGGGTCTACTCTGTAGGTTCCTTCCAGCTTCAGAGCTCCCGATAGAATGAGGAAGGTAAACCACACTCAACCTTCCCCCTCTGCCCAGTCCTGCTTCCCTCGCTTCCCCACAGCTGTCATCCCAGAGAGCTTTTCCCAATGACCTCACTTCATGCAAATCTACTGAGTATACTCCCTGGGAATTGTCCTGCAACACTTAAATGTTAGTTCTTTCTTGCGCTCCCCAAGTCCCTGCCCCTTTTTGACCAACCTGTAAATTGAGGATATGGAACAGGTACACTTGTTTCTTGCCACCATAATTGGGCAAGAATTAGGATAACTTGAACAACAGCAAAAGAAAGAACCCTAGCCAAAACCGTTTTTGGCTCAGTGGATGGAGCGTTAGCCTTCGGACTGAAAGGTCCCAGATTCGATTCCAGTCAAGGGCATGTACCTTGGTTGCGGGCACATCCTGGGTAGGGGGTGTGCAAGAGGTAGCTGATCGATGTTTCT